TAATTATAATTCTAAATATTTAATAATTTTTAATTAATATTAATCACTAGTTATTCATATTAGTAATAAACATTCAGTGTTATAATTGGAAAAAAATGTCAAAAAAACTATTAAAACGCTACTCCAACTAACATTTTAATAAACTAGCTTATGTTTATCCAAACAATCGTTCAAAAGATAAGCTAGTTTATGAATGTCAAATAATGACAGTTTAACCATTAATAAAAATGGTATTACATCAATGAAGTCATTATCCAATTAATACATGTAAAAGATCAAACAAACTTCAACAAAAGATGTGTTAGTAACTTCGGAAATGACAAATGCATGGTGTTGAAGTAGGAGACCAATAAGGAAGTGATTGTGCTTGCATTCCCCCTATCTACATACATACATCAAGAAAGTCAAAACTAAAAGATACTGTAGTTTGTTAGTAATAATTAATAAGCCTTAAGTATGGAAGTAAACTCTCTTTGCTAATTAAGAATGATATATATATATATATATATAGGGGCTTAATCAAATGAGAACTGAGTTGTTTGTGGTAACTGTGAGAATCAATATGAGCCAATCATTTAAATAATTAATGTTATATCCTAAAATAACATAAAGGGTAAATTGGTAATGTTATAATTATAAAACCCTAGATGCTTTAGGTACTCTTCTCCTTCGTCTACTTCTTCTCCGGCCACCCCCACCACCCCCCATCTACTTTTTCATCGACGGTTTCCCCTTCTACAACCATCTCATCTTCTCCTTTATTAGAACACCTTATCTCTCTTCTTTGATTTGGCCTTATGAAATCAACAACCCTTTCTGGTTTTGCTTTGATTGTTTCTTTGATGGCTTCAAAGCATTGACTGGGAGTTGCTGGAGTGGTTCACGAGGCAAACGACGGAGACGAGACACGACAGAGGCGGTGCAAAGGGGAAGGTTCGGGTGTGCTTTGCCTATTTCCTCGTCCCTGTGTTTGTGTTAGTTCGTACGGTGGTGCAGGGGTGCGTGCGTGTGTTGCGGAAGGTGAAAGGGAGAAGGGAGATAAAGAGATGGTGGCTGCAACAATGAAGGGGTAGCCGGAAAAGATGAATTGAGAAAGGAGGAGACGGGTAAAAATTCTGTGGTACATGGTGGTACACAAATTGGTAATACATTGGGTAATGGGTATCACAGGGTGGCCGGAGAAGATGGATTGGGAAAGGAGGAGACGAGTGAAAATT